TACACGATTCTCTACTACTACTTCGGTAATGCGTTCCTTAATTTAATCGATTTGCCGTAGTATACAAGCTTATCTAGTACCGGACGGTGCTCTAAGCAGCTAGCTTTGTAGCAGGTACGCACTGCACTCACTGGCGAGAATTACACTTTGGAAGGGTTGAGAAGGCATCTCCTCTCTACTTTTGGGATGGTGAGAGACCTTGTTGTGCTGCATGTCGACGCGAAGCAAATACTGGCCTTTCAACTCCACTCGACCTTCGACTGTCACGTCCAGATCAGTGAAGGACAGGTAGACGACGTCGTCTTCGTCCACGCTCAGCACCGGGAACGACGGCAAGGCCTGCACCAAGCCCCGGGAGAGGTGGCTCTCGCTTGCCCAGATGTCCCTGACATGGTACATCACTCCTTTCTTCCAACTGCAGAGGTCCGGCGACAGCGTCCAGACGGTCATGGTCACTTCGCTGCCTGGCCGCTCGCCGTAGCCGTCCATGGTAACGAACTTGATGCTGCCACCGATGCAGGCCATGGAACAGAACTCCCATGGCTTTAGTAGCCGTTCGTGCATTTGGACAAAGTCATAGGCCGGGCACTCTCCAGGCAACGGAACGAAGCGGAACTCTGGGACGGCGCCATGCTGGATCACCGCGCGCAGATCACAGACCACCATGCCTTTGGACAGATCCACCCAGCAGAGGCTGGAGCCTCGAAACGCGAAGCACGTGTCTACCTGGAAGAGGCGGTAGGGATAGCAAAGCTCGGAGGGAAAGCCCGCGGCCTTGGTGACGACCCAGTTCGAGGTGGAAGACTGCCACGTGCAGAGCACGGCTTCGGTAGGGTTGGGGGCCCTTACCTTGGCGAGCTCGGCAAGAACGTAGCCGCCGTCCTCGAGGCACATGACGACGGCTCCTCCCCCGACGCCGAGACGGTCGTGGTCGTAGGGGGGCTGGGGGATCGTCGAGAGGGAGTTCCTGCTGGCGTCGTAGATGAGATAGCCTCCTTGCAAATTGGAGCCGGGGCGGTAAGGGCCGGCGAAGAGGGCGACCAGGTTCCTGTCCGCGCTGGCGACATAGGCGGATGTGATGTTCCCGCATAGCCCCGGGATGGATTCTGTCGGGCGCAGTATGCGGAGGGAGGACAGCTCCGGCGGATCGGCGAAGCGGGCATCTGGTTTCAGGATCCGCAGGTAGGCGAGGTTGGCCTCTGCTATGTCCTGGCGGCTTCGTACTCCCCTTTTCGCGGCGACGATCGACGACTCCCCTCCTGTTTCGCTCGCCTCGTGCTCGATGTAAATCCTGCGCTTGAGCAACACCCAGCTGTTGGTTGGGGAACCCTCGATGGCAGCCATGGTAGCTAGGGTTGTGTCGAGAAACCAAGAAGGCGATCTAGGTTTAGTAGGCGAAAGAGGCAAGCCGCGACTCATAATAAAGGATGGAAACCCTTGATCCCGTTCGACAAAGGGACAGCGATCGAGATCGGGAAGGGAGGGACTCATATCCAGGACCAGTGGACGGTGGATACGTAACGATCCAGGGCCTGTTTATGTCCACCCAGTTACTGCTCAAAACCGCCCAAGTTCCTGTTCCCCATCGACCACCGTTACATGGCGGCAGTAGTATCGCCGGCGAGCCACATCGATCTCCTCTCCTGCACGGGGCTGCCGACACGCTGGTGTCCGTCGCCCTCGACGAACAGGCCGACAGTGGGTATGTCAGCGCACCTTCCGTCACTGACAAGCAAGGCCCGGTCGTCAGCTGCGACTCGCTACGCTCGTCGGCTGCCCAAAGGCCGTCACGCATCAAGAAGCCCAACTGGTGCAACACTGAGCCAGAGTGGACCCAGTGAGCCCAGCCCGCGTCTGTACTTAAGCCGCAGCCTTGAGTGGATCGGCATCCGGTGGATCACAAACCTGGCAGTGGCACGAACCCTAGTCTCCCTACTGCTCCTCCTTCCTTCCCCTAAATTCGTGTATCTGAGCTTGTAATCGAATCTGAGTGACAACATACAGTCAATAGATCGTTCCACCACTCTCACTACCTTTACATCTGGTATCAGAGACCAATCTCACGTCTTCCCCGTGTCGATCTGGCACAGTTTATGGAAACCAGATCCCTGCGCCAAGCGCGAATCCGCCTCATCGCCATGGATCCATCCGTCCAGTCGTTTCTGGAGCGCCTAGAGACCACTCTCAAGGAGCATACCGCCGCGATTCATGCCTCCAACTCCAAGATCGACGACCTCGTGGCGTGGCGCCCGGATCTTGAGCGGCGCGTCACCGATCTGTCCGAAGCGGTGGCGGTCCTCCAACGTACCTCGCTGTCGCCGCCGCCTCCGGAGATGGCGCTCCACCAGGCGCCTTCGTCGAGCCTACAATCGCCTGCGACAGCCGGCATCCACACCAGGGCCGCGTCTGGCACGGCAGCAACTTTGCAAGGGCCCGAAGGCCACGGCGTCTACAACATCCAACGGGGGCCACCGGCGGCGTCCTTCCAGACGCCGCCACCGCCCCCGGCAAACGGTCAGTACGACGCCCCCGCCCCCTCACCTCCTGCTCTTTCCCCATTCGCGCACGCTAGCCAGCTGCTCAGCGGCCTCGGCCAAGCGCACCCCTCCGTCCAGTTCCCACAGTTCACGGGCGACAACCCGAAACTATGGAAAACCCTTTGCGAGCAGTATTTCACCATGTTTGCTATTCTGCCGTCGTTTTGGGTACCCATGGCCACGCTGAACTTCTCTGGTTCCGCGTCAATTTGGCTACAATCCATTCAGAAACGGCCTGCAGAATTCGATTGGGAGTCATTCACTGCCCTTTTGTGCACACGCTTTGGCCGTGATCGACATCAAACGTTGATCCGTCAGTTTTACACTGTTCGACAAACAACTACAATCGGAGATTACATTGAGCAATTTGAGTCCATTATTAATCATCTCAATTTATTTCCTCACTCGTTTTGTGGAGGGACTCCGGAAGGACATCCGAGCTGTGGTGTTAGTTCAAAGGCCACCGGACCCGGACACTGCTTGTGCCCTGGCGCTGCTCCAGGAAGAAGTGGCTGATGGTGCGACATCCACCAGCCGGCGGCCACATGACGTGCCGGCGCGTGCAGGGCTGGCGCTTCCCCTGCCTCCACCACCAGCCCACCCCGAACCGGCGACGGTGCCCACAACAGCTGCAGACCGCCGCGGCACTGACGCTGCGCTAGCGGACACATCCAAGGTCAAAGCTCACCGGGACTACCGGCGCGCCCATGAATTATGCTTCAAATGCGGCGAGCGATGGGGGGCCGAGCACATCTGCCCAAGCACAATCCAGCTGCATGTGGTCAAAGAGATGCTCGTGCTCCTAGGGGCAGATTCAATCAACGACAGTGAGGGGGACATTCAACAAGTCCATGCCATCTCTCGACCAGCTCTCGACGGTGGCGTTTCGCCCAAAGCTTTCCAGCTATTGGCCACCATGCATGATAGAGAGGTGCTGATCTTGGTGGACAGTGGTAGTTCGACATCTTTCATCAACAAGAAGCTGGCTGATCAACTGACGGGTTCGGCTCCGTTGCCTCGACCCTCACGGGTTAAGGTGGCTGATGGTGGCGAACTCCTCTGCACAGAGTCCATACCGTTCTGTCAGTGGTCATCGCAAGGGCTCGATTCCGTCATTGATATGAAAATCCTACCGCTGGGAGTCTATGATGCTATACTTGGGATGGATTGGTTAGAGCAACACAGCCCCATGACAGTCGACTGGAAGAACAAGCACCTGCAAATCCCTACACCTAAGGGTCCGGCTCACTTATTTGGTCATGAATCAAATTCAACCACTTGTCATGTGATCAATAGTGCTCAACTATAGCAACTGCATCGCCAGGGGTCGCTCATGCACATCTGTTTGTTGTACCCAATCAGTGAGGAGTAGAGGAACACGCAAACAGAACCACGGGAGCTGAAGCATTTACTGGCTGAATTTGACGATGTCTTCGGTGAGCCGCACGGGCTTCCCCCTCGGCGTGCTTGTGATCACACAATACCATTGATGCCGAGGGCACAACCAGTCAATATCCGAGCTTATCGCCATAAACCTGAACTGAAGTCTGAAATTGAGCAGCAAGTGCAGGAACTACTACAGTCTGGTGTGATCCAACGCAGCCAAAGCAGCTTTTCATCACATGTCATCCTCGTTAAAAAGAAGGACGGCACATGGAGGATGTGCATCGACTATCACCACCTCAACGCGATGACTCGATTCAGCAAATTCCCAGCGCCTATCATCGAAGAACTTCTGGATGAGCTGCACGGCGCGTTGGTTCTCCAAATTGGACCTACGCGTGGGGTACCACCAAATCAGATTGGCCGAGGGCGAGGAGTTCAAAACAGCTTTCCAAACTCACTCAGGCCATTATGAATTTAAAGTGATGTCGTATGGCCTCGCGAGAGGGTCGGAACTTTTAATGGAGCGATGACAGACACCCTGCATCCCCTCCTGCGATTCTGCATGCTGGTGTTCTTCGACGACATACTTGTGTTCAGTAAAACTTGGGAAGAACACTTGGACCACGTGCGCCAGGTCCTCACCTTGCTGCTCGTGACCAATGGAAGGTTAAGAAATCCAAGTGCGAGTTCGGACAGCAGCAACTGTCATATCTGGGGCACGTCATCAGCTGTCAGGGGGTGTCCACTGACCCTAGTAAGATCCAAACAGTCCAATTGTGGCAAACACCGGGGGGTGTTAAGAAGGTGCGCCGGTTTCTGGGATTGGCTGGGTACTACCGCAGATTTGTGCGTGGATTCGGCATCATTGCCCGGCCTCTTTTCAACTTGCTCAAGAAAGGCGTGCCGTTCGTGTGGACCGATAACACCAAACAGGCTTTTCTTCTCCTGAAACAACAGTTGGTGTCCACACCAGTGTTAGCGTTGCCGGATTTCAGTAAGCAATTTGCAATTGAGACAGATGATTGCGACCGAGGCTTTGGGGCAGTTCTGCAACAAGAAGGACACCCTATTGCATTCATGAGCAAGGGACTCAGCCCGCGTTACCACGAGCTTTCTACCTATGAAAAAGAATACCTGGCCATTGTGGTGGCCGTGGACCAGTGGCGACCCTACCAGCAACACAATGAGTTCGTTATCTATACGGATCAGAAGAGTCTCATCCACCTTGAAGAGCAACGGTTGACTACCCCATGGCAACAGCGAGCTTTCACCAAACTGCTCGGGCTCTGATATGTCATCCGCTACAAAAAAGGCTTGGAAAACACAGTCGCAGACGCTTTGTCCAGTGCGCAATCACCGATCTCCTGTTTGACATCATCACATGCTGCCCCAGCTGGCTCGAGGATGTGGCTGCCAGCTATCACAACAATCCTCAATCTCAGAAACTTTCTGGAACAGTTAGCCATCAAAGAAGACCCCAAACAAAGATTCACTCTAGAGCAAGGGATTTTGCGATTCTGCAGGAGGATTTGGCTGGGCGGCACTGCAGTGATGCAGCAAAAGATTATCTCTGCTTTGCATGACAGCCTCATGGGAGGGCACAGTGGGTTTCCGGCCACCTTCAGGCAGATCAGGCGTCTTTTTGCGTGGCCCAAGATGAAAGCACACGTTCTGCAGTATGTGCGCTGCTGCTCTGTCTGCCAGCAAGCTAAACCCGACAGGTCAGCGTCTCCGAGCTTGTTGGAATCCCTGCCAATTCCTCAACAGCCATGGGACATGATCACCATGGACTTCATCAACGGTTTGCCTCAGTCGGGAAAAGCCAATTGCATCTGGGTAATCGTGGACAAGCGCACAAAATTTGCCCACTTCCTACCCCTAGCTCACCCGTACACAGCGGCTAAGGTGGCACTCCTCTGCATGTCGAGCATCTACAGGATCCACGGGTTCCCGCGCTCCATTGTCTCTGATCGCGACCCGGTTTTCACAAGCCACTTCTGGCGTGAGTTGTTCAAGTACGCGGGCACAGACCTGCGTATGAGTTCTGCTAACCACCCCCAGACGGACGACCAAACCGAAAGAGTCAGTCAGTGCCTGGAAACTTATCTGCGCTGCTTCGTCCACGCATGCCCCAATCGCTGGAGTCATTGGCTTCCCCTCGCACAGTTTTGGTACAACTCCTCGCATCATTCAAGCATCGGCATGTCGCCATTCCGAGCTATGTTCGGTCATGAACCTCGGATTTGGGGAATCTCGCCTACTGATGGGTGTCAAGTCCCTGCCCTCCAGTCTTGGCTGGAGGAGCGAGCGGTGATTCAAGACCTCCTACAACAACATTTGCATCGGGTGCAGCAGCACATGAAGACACGGGCAGACAAACGTCGCTCGCCAAGAACCTTCTCGGTGGGGGACCAAAGTTTACCTCAAACTCCAACCCTACGTACAAACGTCAGTGGCCAGGAGGGCAAACCACAAGCTATCCTTCAAATATTATGGGCCGTTTCAAGTGATCACCAAGGTCAGCGAAGCAACTTATAAACTAGAGCTCCCAGCGGGCTCTCAAATCCATCCAGTCTTCCATGTGTCTCAACTGCGCTAGTGCCTACGCCCGGGTACGCACCCTTCGCCTGACCTTCCACACCTTACTGATATTCCTGTCGTGCATGTGGCCATCCAACAGCACCGTTGACGCAAGAAGAATGACTCAATGATCGAGCAGGTCCTAGTCCGTTGGTCGAATCAAGCTGCTCTCGGAGACACTTGGGAGGACAAGCTCGCGCTGCAAGCGCGGTTTCCATGAGCTGAGGCTTGGGGGCAAGCCTCGTCCCAAGGAGGAGGGGATGTCAGCGCACCTTCCGTCACTGACAAGCAAGGCCCGGTCAGCAGCGACTCGCTACGCTCGTCGGCTGCCCAAAGGCCGTCACGCACCAAGAAGCCCAACTGGCGCAACACTGGGCCAGAGTGGACCCAGTGAGCCCAGCCCATGTCTGTACTTAAGCCGCAGCATCGAGTGGATCGGCATCCGGTGGATCACGAACCTGGTGGCGGCACGAAACCTAGTCTCCCTACTACTTCTCCTTCCTTCCCTCAAATTTGTGTATCCAAACTTGTAATCGAACCTGAGTGACAGCATACAGTCAATAGATCGTTCCACCACTCTCACTACCCTTACAGGGTATGCCTAGATGGCGCTGACAACCAGCGTATCAGCACCAGCAGCACGTCCGGCCGAGGCGGCACTCGCCTGCACGCCTTTCCTGCCTCGCTCGCAACATATCATGGCTCAAGCCTCGCAATGAAGCTCCGGGCAGCTGCGTCAGCGGCATCACGTCTAGGGTTTAAGGTGCGCACACGAGCTCACATTTTTATCAGCTGCTGTGACGCTGTTTCTGAATGTGAACAAGACTTTATTTTTTATCACACTGTAGTTTGAGGGGAATAAAACTAGCTTTAATATTGTATAGTGCATAGATAGGCTCATGCATGTTATCCTGACTAATGAATAGGGGTTGCCCTCACGCCTGTGGTGATGTACTTCTTCTCTGCAATTGGTTAATGCACACAAGCTGTCAGGAGGCTACAGTCTGCAATCGACTAGTTATGCTGATCTCTTCCAGTTTTTCAAAAATAGAAACTTACTACTTCCTCCGTTCACTTTTGTAAGTCATTTTAGACAGCTAAAAATGAACTGTTTTGTACATTGTCTTAATTGTCTTCAAGGCCTTATAAAAGTAAACAAAGGGAGTAGTTAAGAAGCATCCTTACATGCCCTCATTTGCTTTCCATTACCCTCCCTATAGGAATTGTTAAGTAATGCCTTTTTTATCACTGTGAGGCATAAGCAGATGGTTAGGGGGCGTGGGCCAGCGCTGCTAGTTTCAACTTATACTAGAGGGCAACACATGTTTTACCGCGCCATTTTTTACTTATGAAATTAATTATTTTTTGTTCTTTTAAAAATTATTATAGAAATTCATATTCCGTGCATAGGCACAGTCCGTCGAGCAAGCACGGAACCCCACTTGCGCTATTGAGCCGGTCATAGGACGATCCTTCTTGTTTGCGAAGGTTCCATTCTATTTCTTTCTTTTCTTTTTCCTCTACCAGTTTCCTTTCTTTTCTTCTTTTTTCTTCATCAATTATTATTTTATATTTATGGAGTTTTTCGTTTCACATTTTAAATCATCTATAAATTTTCTGAATATTTTTTGAAATTATGGAACATATTCAAATTGACGATTTTTTTATATTTTAAGAAAAATTTCAAATTTGTGAATATATTTTCATATTCATGAAAAAAAAATCACAAATGCCTTTTAATCCATGAACATTTTTAAATTCTTTTGACCAATTTTGAATACTCATGAACATTCTTCAGAATTCGTTAATATATTTTTCATATTCATGATCAATTTTTACATTAACAAAGAATATTTAAATTTGTGAATGTCTCTTAAAACCGGTGATTATTTTTTGAAATTTAAAAAATCCTGAATATTTTTTAGAAAACATCAAAGTATTTCAGTAGAAAAAATGGATGAAACAAGAAAAATTGGCTCCAAACCGATAAAAGATTCGCCTATGCAATAAGGGGTGCGGACCTGCGCGTTTGCTTGCAATTTTATTTTTCTAAAATAATAGGAATCATTTTAATAGAAAAATCGGCCAGAATATAAAGTCGGATGACAAATCGGCCAAGAAAAGAATCACCAATATAATATGCACTACATAGACCGCGGCGTGTTGGTTTTGCTTCTACGAATGACCCCATCAGACCGTTACAGATGAGGTCCAGTTTGAAAGAAAAAAAAACTATGGAGCCCTCCTAGGCCTCTATTCATTTTCCATATTTATGATTTTTTTTAATTTGCGAACATATTTAAGTTTGTGAACATTTGTTCTACTTTGTTAATATTTTAAAAATTCATGAAAAAACATATTCATGATTTTTTTAATCCGCGGCCATTTTAAACATTTTTTAAAATTCATGTTTTTCCAAAACTCTTAAACATTTTTTATAATTCATTAATATAATTTCCATGTTGTGAACAATTTTTAACCTGTGAAGTTTATTTAAATTCATGAACATTTTAAAATAATGTACAAGACCGCCACAACGAACATTTAAATTCCATGTTGTAAAATTCATGAACATTTTATAATAATCGGCGCCATATTTACTATCGTCACTGAATCCTACTTGACATAACATAACCATTTACCACATATGGCGCTTTTCATTATGCATACCAAGGTGGTATTCTTTATGTGTTGGCATCTATTGTTTTTTTTTAAACCGGGCATTACCCCTTTCCATTACTATGACATAACAGAAATACATAGTTCAGCGTCATAAGGAGACCGGAAAGGGGAAAGCGAGTTCGAGACACCACTGGGAAACCCACTGCAAGCACTCGTCATCGAGCAGCTCATCATGGGGCGAAAACCCAGTGCCATCTAAAACCACCTATCCTAACCAGAGCCAAACGAGGGGGTCGAAAGTAGTCTCCACATACACAGGAGGAACGGCTCACACTTGAGCACCAGGCAAAGACCCACGCAGGGGCGAGAGTACCAAAAGAAAACAAGTATCAAGACACTAACAGCCATAGTAGAGGGAGGAGGGAGAAAGCAGGTGGAAGTGACGGCTGCATCCCCATCAGTCCATTGCTGATCCCGCTGGAGCTGCACAAATCCTCATCATGGCAGCTGCATTAGTCTTGAGCATCTTGGCACCGCGCTCCATCGCTTCTCGTTCGGCTCCCACCATAAGACCTGCCCAGTAATTCATGTAACCACAAGCAGAGAAGACTACATCAAAAGGAGTTCTCAAAATTTTGCCCTCGAAGGTGGCCCTGTTACGACATAACCACATGGCCCAGCAGATCGCAGTCAAGCCAAAGGTATAAAACCTAGCCCCATCAGGCCAATACACATAGCACCAAGAGAAATACTGCCAAAGATTGTTAGGGCACAAATCTGTGCCGAACACGCAACCAACCGTTCTCCAAACCACCCTCGCAACCGGACAGGTGAAGAAGAGATGTTGGGAAGTTTCCCTGTTCTGGCAGAAGGAACACTTCGGGTTGCCAGCCCAATTACGTTTTTTCATGACATCTCGAGTCAGCACCGCATTTTGAAATAATTGCCAGAGGAAAATTTGGATCTTGAGAGGTAGCTTAGCCTTCCAGATCCACCTATAATTACATCCAGCAAGGCGGCTTTCCAGGTGCTTATACATGGATTTGGGGGTGAAGCGTTTGTTTTTACCAAGATTCCAAACGACCTGATCAGGTTCATCAGAGATCACCCAGGAATTCACCATCTTTTTCACCTCTTCCCATTGATTAGCAAGTCGAGGATGTAACCGTCTCCTAAAGAGATCTGGGGTCCCCTCGCCCCTGGCCTTGGCCACAGTAATCAAGTCTCCTAAAGTATTCTTTATGTGTTGGCATCTATTGTTGGGTCTTAATGTGATGTCATCCAGTGTTGGAGGCGACTAGCATTGTGACATATGTCCAATCGAGTTGAGTGGTTTTTTTTTTGCATTGTTACATATTTTATGACGAGTTTATCTCAATGATCTTTTTTTTTTTTTGCGGTTATATCTCAATGACCTGACGGAGCCAACAAGGAATTGTGGCATGCATTGAGTCATTGTTTGTCTAAAATGTTGCAGTATTTTGCACCTCTTTTACAGACAACGGAAAAACACTGCAGTGATGTTCTATGTGAGCTGAAAAAAATGTTACTTGGAGGTGGGGATTCCATTTTACAATGTTAGATCATTTTTTACACGGTGGTTAAATCACCTTAGCACTGACACCTATTTTCTTTTGTTGCGGGTAAACTCACCTGACTGACACCTGTCATAGCGCTGTTTTTACGGCTGCAGTGCCATCTGAATATTTCCTTTGAGCCTGGGGAGCACCAAAAATCCACCCGCTGATTCAAGGATCGAGCAGTAGTAATTTGCTTGTAATAACAATACAGAAAAAGAGAAGGATTCATGCTGCCCGAGAGGGGCGGTGACGGGTCGACAACGCATTGCATGCAGGTTGAGGCATCAGATCAAGCGTGAGGGGCCGAGAGAGCTACAGGAGCTGGCCGTAGCCATACCTCTTTACTGAAAGTGGCGCCGTCGTGTCGCCGTTTGCGTCAGTTCACTTCACTAAAAGTGGATCCTGATTCCTGATTTGAACGCGGATGTGAGCTAGCGAGGAGGCCGGTTTCTTCTTCTTCTTCGTTGCACGACGAAATTCAGATTATTGTCCATCTCTTGTAAACCCATATCGTAAGAGTAAGATGGCCTCAGTTTAGAGCATGAGGTCCTTGTGTAGGCAAAGCAAGCCATGCATGTGTAAACGTGAAACTGAAATTCTTACACTTGTACAAAGATGACAATTTCAGACAAGAAATTAAGCGGACAATCTCATCATTTTTGCACACGAGGGGGCACATAGTCAGGCGGTTTATTCTCTATAGAGTTACTCTGCTGCTACTAGCATCAGAAGGCACTGATCCAGGATTCAGAACATACGAACCGAAAGCTTCAAACAACTACTGGAAAAAGTAAACAACTCCATTCTCCTCATCGTTGTGCCATGCATGCCGGTGATGAGCACGCCAACGCCGTACGGCTGATACACTTGATCGCCCGCACCGATCACTCCACGAAGGAGCCGTCCAGCTTGCGGACCTGCACCTTGAGCTCGTGGTCCTCGCCGTCGCTCCCGCGGAGCGCGCGGAAGAAGCAGGTGTCGCCGACGGTGAGGCGGTTGTCCACCAGGAACTGGTGCCACCCGTACTGGCATCGTCGTCGCGCTGGTAGTGCCTGCGGCACATGCTCATGTCGAACACCTTGACGGTGAGCACGGCGTCGCCGTCGAAGCTGAACACGAGGAAGTAGCCGAGCCGCAGGTCGTGCGCGCGGGCGAACTGCTCCCAGCCGCGCCCTAGGTACATGTGGCCGTCGGCGTCCAGCACCACCTTCACGTCCCACAGGCTGCGGCGCCCGCTGCCGGCCTCCCGCAGCTTCACTTCCCGGGGCTCACGTCCGGCGAGCACCTTGGCGAACTTGTCTGGCATCCTCTGCGACGTGGCGTGGGTCAAGCAGCAGTTGGAATTGAACAAGTGTTGAACCAACCAAACCAAAGTACCAAACCCAGAGCCCAATGACCAAGCATCACGGTGTAGAACCCAGAAACGTACGTACCAGTTTCTTCAAGGACTTGGAGAGCATGATGATGAAGAACTCGAAACCTGACGAGTCAATGGGAAAGGCCTTCTCCTCTTCCATCGTAGTCGTAGCAAAACCCTCTGCTTCTTCTTCTTCCTCCTCCTCCTTGCCTCTGCCCTCTCCTCTCAATAGTGTGAAGCAATCATATAGGGAAGGAAAAGCAGCGATGTAACAACAGATTCCTCCTGCTTTATTCACGTGTGTAGAAAGACGGCAGCAATACGGCTTGTTGGGGCTACTTCAGGAACATCTCCAGCCATTACGTGTCGAGCTCCAGTGGTGGGCTGCCTATGTATTGTGAGCTCCTAATTAACTGGCCTAGCAACAAGGGCATAATCAAACATCAGAGGCGGTACCAAACACCTTTCAACCCCACCATATACAGGAAATGAAATAACGTATTTGTATAATCATCCGCAATACAGGCAGTCACATGGCGGGACATACCCGAATAAGAAACCAACAGATTTTAAACTGAAAATAAACTCAGCAATCTCATGTGCAATCAGGCCTACTGTCTCATTGCCCATATAGGGAATACTATACCAGAACTTCAAAGGCCAGCGATAGGAAGACAAATGTTTCTTTACCATCATAGGATTGCAGACAAATCTTGCTGCCACCGAAAGTGCTCGGCCAATAGAAATAAGATGGTGTAGGCTTAGACAGGAGAGTACATAATATGCTGATAGTCAATGACTGTAGATCCACATGAAAGAGACAGTCTACTCATTTTTGTATGTTTTGTATTTATTGACTTCTTTACCGAATCAGATTGTGGGGAGACTGATATATACAAAGATTACAATTACTTCCGACTAATGAGGAAAAAATAAGTTCACTCGCAAAACTAGCGTAAATCAATGCCTTCATCCAGGGCTGTGGAGCCCATCATCACATTTGAATCAATCTGCTTGTCAAACTTCTTCCTTCTGCGTGCTTCAAACTCCCCGAATCCATCCATCTGCAACAGATGAGAAAGGGAATTAGGATTAAAATTAAAATTAAAATTAAAATAGTGTTGATTCAGTTGCAGGAATCTGTAGCGTCCTCATGTCACTAACTTGCTGAAACTGGTCCATCGAGATTGGGTTGCTGTGCAGTGACAAGTTCTGAAGAGCCTTGCAATCCTTCAGCAAGTTTGGGGGAAGCTGCAGCCAAAAAAGGAGTTTGAGGATGGATCATGGATGGCTCCTTAATTGCTTCTTCTTTCATAATGGCATGGACAATATGTACATAAAGTGCACAAGATAGTCAAAGATGCCAAATAAATTCACTGGCACATACCTGACGAATTTTGTTTCCATTCAATGATACAGATTTGAGGCAAGCAAGGTTGCAAATTGATGAGGGCACATCTTCGATTGTATTTCCTGAATATTATTTAGCATGAAGGTTAGCCAGAGGTAGCTTTGCTCAACACATAAAGCCGAACAGCATTATCCTAAGAGGCAGTGATTTGACAACCGTAAATTATTTGCAGACTAGCAAATGGTAATCACTACTTAATCGACATTTAAACTTCTGGATATTTGTAGACGCTAAGGCAAGATAACATTCATAGCAAAGTAATCATTACTAGATCGACATTTAACGTCCTGAACATTTGTAGGCAAGAAGGCAAGATAACATTCACAGCATGGTAATCATTAGTAAATCAACATTTACATTTCTAGACATCTCATTTATATAAATGGTACAAGTTCTTAATTTTATGAAAGAAAAGTTCATCAAAAACATACATCCATTAACATGAAAATAATGATAGTAAGCAAATCTTAAGTTGATTAACCGGTTCCTTCATTCATCCAGAGCACAGCTAGTTGAGCTGATCCATACCACTTTCAGGCTCTGAGAAGGTAATATCAATGATCTCTGCGCCAAATGTCAAGGTAATGTCGATGATCACTGTGCCAAATGTTGATTTAGTATTGATTTCTCTGCTGTGATTGGTGCCTTGCCTTCTCCAGTTCTATATTTTTCTTCTTTGTATATATTGCGAAGTGTTGAAATTACTAGGTACAGATGTACTTTGTTGATTTTGTATGGACAATTATCGAAATTGTATCACCTTTATGTTTCTTATATCCCGTATTGACAAATTATGGAAGCTCTACCATTTCCATGTTTCTTGTGCTATTTATTAGTCGGAACGTACCTTGCCTGGCCAGTGGCCACGATTACTAGTGCAAGCAAAAAAGCGGAGAACAGGAAACTCAAATTATATAGGACTAGTAGTATTACAGAAACAAGCGGGTTTTACCATTAGCCTGCAATTCTTCCAGGGACTTGCAGCCTCCTATTGATTCGGGAAGGGCATTTAGTTTGTTATCAGATACATTGAGTAGCAGCATCTGCATCAGTCAAACACAAAATGATGGTAAGCTATTGACAACAACACGACATAGATCCACAATACCAAAAAAGGATAACACTAGGGCATTGACCATTACAAAAAAAATACGCTTTTGAATATTTAATGGTGATACAAAATGATGAAATGCACACTGAATCAATTTCATAAATTAACTTATTTTGACAAAACAGAAAACAAAGAATACTCCTGTTGTGAAACAAAAATCAATACTGACTGCATCTTTATGATTTTCGGAAATGAGACATGCTTGAAAACAAGTCTTTTGCGGAGATAGGCTAAGTTTGGCATATTGAACCAAATAAAAAACTTACATTGCACAAATCCCCAACACTTTTAGGTAGGCACAGTAAAGAATTCTGAGAAACTGTAAGCTGCTGAAGATTTGATAGAGAACCCACTGAATGGGAAAAAAAGATCATGTGAGAAAACGGAAACAAAAGTTAGTAGAATAATGGTATGAAAGTCATAACTCTGTACTAACTCCTTGTTAGGGCAAGGTTTTAGACTAGAGCCTAGGCCACCTTTGTTATGTACTAATAAAATAATAAACCTAGGTAATACTTTGCTTGTTTCACTTCAATTCTTACAAATAATATAGATAAGATGTATGAACTAACATTCTTCAGGCAAGACAGTGATCCTATTTCTGTCAAGCGTGAGGATTTTAAGGTTCCGCAGGTATCCAATATTAGCTGGAATGTTTTCAATCAAATTACCAGCCAAAACCTACAGGAACAAGAGAAAACATCACTATCAAGCCGCCATTACTGAGAATAAACAAATGGAAGAATCGTTGCTTGCAAATACACATCTCTAAAAAAATCCAGGACGGTTTTTACTAAGAATGCTTACCAGCCTTTGCATATTCACAATGGTACCAACTTCCTGGGGAACCTCAACTGCAAAATAAAAAGAACGAATTGTCGTTGCTCAAGAAAATACAATTACAAACATCAAAGATGTGAAAACAGCTTATGCAGTTTCAGGCAAGACAGCTTATTCAGAACAAGGAATTCAGCCCAAGTAAGATGCTAAAATAATCTTGCCCAGCACGGGTTTTGGATAAGTTGTATCCACAAACTGGTAGAAAAAGAAATGCAAGAAAATAAAGGGTCCAATTGTAGCAAGTTGGCTTGAAATAAAGCAATTGCTCACATTGTGAAGTGAAAAATAAATGTGCATATAACTTCCAACCAGTTTCTTTCTGACTAAGTACAAGAAAGTGAGACAATACCAAGCATTAATGTCTATCACCCTGAATGGAGATAACTACTTGAAATTTCTGATTACCTATCTTGTTATTTGTCAAATCCAGAGTTCTAAGGGAATTTCCCACTTGCAGAACTTCATGTGGTACCACCTGCATGGAATGATATTAAGCAACTCTGGAAGAGAAGTGCAATGTTACAGTAAGAAGTGCAGAAAAGCACCCTTTTTCATGTAGACATAATAAGTTCACTTATAAGCTAAATATTTGAAATATGAGAACAATCTAATAGGAAATATTTATACGAGGAAAAACAACTGAGTAAGCACCATATGGATTTCATTTAGTGAACCAGTACCGATATCAAGCCCTTGTGCTGCTGACCTGAGGAGCCATGTGTTTTCTGGCTCCTTGCTGGATTTCAGAAGGCCATGGACAGCGGTACAGAAGGTAGCGCTCAACACAGACACCACCTTCTGTTGGAAGTTCACACTTCACGCACATGCGGGTATTGCTCATCATCTTAGGCATACAGGATTCAGTTCCTAGGCTTAATGTGAAGCTGAGATTTCGAAGGTCTGGGCATCAACAGCAGAGTGGCGTCTTCATGTGTGGTTAGAAAATTGAATACTGACAGCAGACCGCTGCTAGCAAGCCAATAGCCCAGCACCTATATATGCCCTCTATGCATCGAAAACTGTTCACCCACCTATGTGCTAGAAACCAATTCGTGTGGCAGTTATGGGACAAGCTGCTGCTATGACGGCTTCACTCCTTCAGGGAAAATTACTTGGTATACTGGAGGTTTGCCTCCCTAATTGACGAGCTACATTCAACTGGCAGTAAGCGCTCTCGGTCCTGTTAATGCTTGTAGTTTGGGAAGCTTCGAGCAGAGAAGCAGGCGTATGATTCAGACAAAAGAAGCTTCCATCAATGCGTTTTCCGAGAATTAAAAATAAAAAAGACGAGGCAAACGCCTGGCTGTTGGCCAGGGCACGACACCTGCCAACACAATTGGGGCCTCTGTGTGGCTGGGTGAAACAACTAGTGCTTACCTCATTAGCCTCACCATTTTGGTTTTCAAGGATACTCATCATTTTGGTTTTCATCCGCTTTCAAGCTACAGGTGCTTACCTGCAGTTTGTAACTTTGTATTTTTCTCATCATCTATCAATGAAACTGTCAGATAGCCTTTTGATTTAAAAAAATGTTAACTTAGAAGTACATCGTTGCAGGCTTGCAGCAGTAACATCGGTACACATGGGTACATTTTAGGCATACCTTTAGCAGTACTCTAGAGTTCCCAGAATGCTCAATTTTGGAGTGCCAAGTATGATAATCTTCCTAAGGTTGCATTTCTTATAATATAATGACTAAAACCAGCCATTAAAGGTGGCAAGTTAAATGCTTATCTGTTTATCGTGTCAGCTAAAAGGTTATTTCAGCCAAAAGAAAAGCAACACAGTTCCAAGTTAGTGCATCACCACATAGGATGGCATACTTTTAACTTTTATATCGGCAAAATTGCGCTTTCCTTCCACCTAGGAATCCTCCATGGATACTCAACCAGTTAATCAAACGGGCGATGTACCATCACTCAGAAAAGCATCGTCGCTCGTACTCTCAACGTATAATCATCCGACATTCAGGGGAGCTGATGCGGTGGACGCCCCCAAAATGTCAATTTACAGGAAAGGGGAGGGGGGGCTGTGGGCGAGGATAACCTTCAGTTTGGCGTCCCGGAGGGCGACGATCCCGGTGGAGCGCCAGCGCGTGACGCGGGTGGCCGGCGAGTCCGAGCTCCGGCTGCTGCAGCAGCCCATCTCCGCCGCCGCCGCCGCCCGTCGCCCGCGCGAGGGCGAAACTCGCAGATGCTTTCCCCTCCGATTGTGGAAGAGATTTTGTTTCAGGGGGAGGGGCGGGCGACGACTTCGGCGAGGAGGCAGTTGGGGGCGGCCGGCGGGATCTGCCTTGACCTCGTCCACTCGCTGTCAGCTGGGACCACCGCTGGGTGCCTCTCCCCGCAGGGCTGCGGGTCCCCGTGCTGCTTACCTGGCATCTCGATCTTGTCAAACGGTTATCTATGAGACTGACAGTGGCAGGCAACAGACCAATTTTTGATTATTTTTTATTATTATGAACAGACAAGATTGCCTCTTTGTAAATTTGCAATTCTACACTTCCAGTTTTTTTTTACAGTAACTAGACTTTATTTCCCATATATGCCATATCGTATATCAAAAGATGACAAATAAAGTCAAGGATCACAACATCCCAAGAACCAGAAGATTTCGAGCTAAAGGATTGTCTGGCTAATTCATCCGGTACCTAATTGGCTTACAAAAACTTTTAAGGGCATCGATGTTTTCTCCAGAGTTTGGATCACAAGGCCTTTTTACCAGCTGACGGCGCTGCCACAAGAGGAACCATGTTGCAACTACCGCCAGTTGTGCCATCGGGAGCCCATCAACAACATCACTGAGTTTTATTAAAAACTCCATGGTGACTGATCCTGATCTGTCATTTGCAATTGCTCTCTGTAGAGTGTCCGAAAATCCCAGCTGATCACACTTCTTTTACGCGGCAACAACTGAAAAGAGTATGCCATCTTCGGCATGAGCCAAACAGTGCGGGCATCTTCATTGACTCCATTGCTCTTACCGTTTCATCTGATTTTATTTTTTAAATGTCTCTAGAATGCTTTGAAAATTGTAACCAGCTAGTTTTGATTAAACAAAAACTCTTGGGTGTGTTTTGTGAATTAACAATAGGATTACCAACTGTAAAACAAAATCATCTTGTAGTTTTGTATGGTCATCTTAATTGTCAAATTATCTTTGAATACTTGCCCATTGTACAAGGAAAATATCTAATATGAAAAATCAATTAAGACGTCCATTCATTTGGGCACCCTTGCCTTTTGCGATAGGGGATGATCGGCTCGGCTACCATTTCTCCCTCCATCCATGGCAGCTAGAAATCACGAGTGCCATCTTCTCCGGTCCGGTTATGAAGGTGATGTTCTATCGTTAGCAATGGCGCACCACCATTCTTGACCAAAGTGAAATTGCACCACTCATCCGTATGCAGCTGAACGAGGTCCAGTAGGGTTGGAAACATGGACATTCAGGGTAGTCACCTAGAACAAGATATGAGATAAGGCACGCGATTTTGGGTTAGGCAACAATCATATCAAAGGACTAGCGCATTTAATTCATGCTTACGGGTACAGCACACTTGAGCAAACTAGCTAATTAGAATGTGACCTCAGAATTGTTCAATACTTCTCCAGGAGTCAAAATGCATACAAGCTTATCTGGAAAAAATTAACTAAATAATCATTTAAAAATTATTAGACCCTTACCAAGCATATTTGCAGACATAGCCTTTCTAGCTACACAAAATGGTCTTAGACTAGTCACAATGGTGAGTAACATACACTAGTAACATACACATATCCCTAGACTATGTTACTACCTTCATAGTGGGTAGTAACATAAGTGTGGTGACATGCAAAGCTTCATTTATTAGGTTATAGACTCATATTGCATCGGGGCATGTGATGTTACAGTAACTAGCTAAGTTACTATAACTACCTCTCTCCTCATTAACTCACTGCCACATAAGCAAATTTGCTGAGTTGGACTCGATGTTACTGCTGAAGTTACTCCCACTGTGGCTAGTCTTATGTTGCACAAGAAAAACTACTGCACCATGAGTTTAGACCTGGGTCGATGCATAAAAAAACGTTTTATATTTAGATACAGAGGTAGTAGCTACCAAGCTTTCTGGCCATCCAAACCCATTAGCAGTGGTGGAGGGACACATAGGGCGGGGTAGGGCAGCCGCCCGACCTAACAGGTGTAGTAAATATTCCCTACTATTCTGCTTCTATGCCATGGCCACAGGCCAGCTTGAGCTCAGGATGGCAACTTTGCTGACTCAAAAGTCACCAGGACACAAGATAGACGACCGATGAGCGAAATATCAGGGCCTGAGCAGCTGGGCTTTACACATTTAAGGCACATGAGAGTTAATCAGGCTAGGCTTTACTTACATTCCTTTACGCTTAAACATCAACGAAGCTTTCATATAGTTAAAAATCGATGAAATGTCAAAAAATGTAGTACAAGCTTGGTGAGGTATTTTTGCATGTGCTAATTTCATTTCAATATGTTTCTACACGGATTTGTTGTCATAAATCTAACATCAAATACTCTTATTAGTATGTATAAAACAACGATCATGATTTCACCCTACCAAAATTTCATACCGTCCTCTGCCACTGTCCATCAACATGGCCAAAATGGTTAGTTTATCGACAAAAGTTTGGTGATACAGCATCATTTTTATTTCAAATAATAGTTACTCCCTCTGTAAACTAATATAAGAGCGTTTAGATTACTAAATTGGTGACCTAAACGCTCTTATATTAGTTTACGAAGGGAGTACATAATAAAAATAAACCCATTAATGGTGAGGACAATATAGTCGAGCTTTCAAGCACCAATCAACTACAAGATGGTTAATTGCTCTCCCAAAACAGACTTCTTTCGCTCATTTGATGGAACGATGGTCAGGCCTGGATCAACATTACAGAGATGTACTGAGTATGTACTTGATGTAATAGACATATATAAAGACACCCAGTTTACTGATATAGTAATCACCAGTACAAATAACATAGCTAGTGACCTTGAAGTCCTAAATGAATCAAAGTTGTCAGAACAATGGTAAGAGAGAACACCAGACACAAGGGTTCCTAAAAAATTGGTCTGACCGAATGTTGCTCTAAACACTGCATGAAGTAGCCTTGGCGGTAAGGAGTCACAAGAGAATCCGTCAAAAAAAGTTTCTCTGGCTTGTGGATAATTCGGTAAGTGGGAATTTTACCATCCAAGCTCAACAATATTGAATTTACTTTTTCATTTGTACTGCGCATGTTTTCCAATCTAATTTTACTGGAAGAAGTCTTTTGATTACACTGGTTAGTTCTGCAGACAATTGCAATGATAACTTCACGGTTTTAATTTGCACACCCATGGAAATTATGAAACAGAAACTTCAGTTGGTCAAACTCTGAAGAATTATATTTGTGACTTGCTCAGCACTCATGAGCTGTATGATAAGAAAAAAATGTGTACCTCATATGCTTACCTTTTAATGCCGGAATGCTAGGATAACCGCAACGATGAAAAGTACCAAGAGAGCAGCATTCCCACCAGGCAAAATATCTTCACATGAACCAGGTGACCTGGAGGATGAAGAAGCAAAACAAAAATGTTGAACAAAATGGAAGTTTACAGTTTAGATACTCAAAATATTGATGCTAACCTACTCTTTTGAGGTTCTTATATAATAAATTATATCATCCTTCACAAGATTAAATATTTCTTGCACATAAAATGACCGCTATCACATAAATTAGTATATTACATGATTCTACTCACACACGTAATGACAAAAAGGCCATCGTGTGCTCTGAAAGCTGGAGGCAAAAAATCGACAGTTTGACTACAGAACGAACAAAGACAAACGATTGCATAACTGAAACTGATAAATCGTTAGTGGTTCCACAAACTATACAGCGTCTGTTTAGAAGAATGACATGTTCACATCCAGAAAAGAGGTAGAGGAAAGGGCCGGAGAAGTGTGTGATTGCATTATGCAAGAACCTGAGATGTCTTATTGTCAGGCTAATCTGAGTAGTACTAAATGTCCTGTAGAAAATTTTAAAGGGGCAGCATGGTTTCAGACAAAAAAAGTGTAGCAGTGTTGAACTACATTGTTTGCTGGTCAAGCTGGAGGGTCTGGGCACAGACATTCAGACAATTTCCCTATTTACAGCCTTATACTTTTACTATCTCCATAACTTTATCTTCCCAAATCACATATACTGAATGCAAACTCGGATACTATAGCCAGAAAGTTTCTACGTTACAATAAATTTTGGTGGTCTTCTTGACATTCAAAGAGCTGCAGACCTATTTACTCTATGTTGAGTTGAACATATAAAGCTATATCATGAAAAGAAGTAACTGTAGCTGTGTGGAAACTCAACAGGTCCAGAGTATTCATACTTTGTTTGCAAGTTATAGAACCAGCCACTTCGAACTTTATACATAAATGTTGCTAGAAAACATGCTAAACTCATCTAATTAATGCAGAAGGAACACATCAGTTATCAGGATTTTCCTGTGGAAACAAGGATGGCACAAAGCAGAAGGTCTCAAAACGTGAAGTATAAAAGGGGACTAGCACCAATCAACATTTTATATTTACTGATAAGAATTGGAGCCATTTGAGTCAGTTAAACAAACACGGAACTGTTGAACATCAGACAGTTGTGAGCACTTCAAGAAATACTTAATTAAGTTACTTAGTCCCCATTCAGCAATGCCGACGGATATTAGCCAAGGCATTGAGCATGAATTAGCACCCCTGATTACATATTTAAGTACTCTACACTTCATTTTCCCATTATTTCAGCATGTATATATGACCATTGGTGGTTGGTTTGGATTTTATATTTTTTACCAATGCTGCTAACTATATACAGTAGTATGTATATTCTTTAAAAGAAATATGGCCTAGTGAACATTACCTCTTCTTCCGTGACCGATGAATCCAGGCCATTGCAGGAGGCAGGATCCCAAACAAGAAGCAGTTTGCATAAATCCCGGCAAAATCTAATGCCTTGGCAAACGCTGTTGAGAAGAATGATACAATAAATATGGGAATGATCAGCACTGCCAACGTAAGAACCACCTCGTTCCTGCCATGACCACCACCAGCATTGGACAACTCCACACTTCCTTGCTTC